TCCTTCAGCAGATCCTCCAACTTCTTGATATGCAGCGCATCTGCTGGCTCACGTAGAGGCCAGGGCTCGTGGTCATCGCCAACGTTCCAAACCAGTTTCCCTTCGTCAGGAACATCTGCCTCAGGCCGGGTATCAATTTCCATGCCATAGTAGTCCACCAAGGCCTGCAGCTCCTTCTCGGCGAAGTTTTTGACTTTCTTGAGCGGCCCTTTGCGCTCGGGGAAAATATCCAACTTCTTTTCCGACTTTGACCACGTGCTCTTCCTGCGTGATGTGTGATGTTTCGGTGTCGGCGATGCTACGTCGCGCGGGGTATGTATATGTTTCGCATGCTTTGGGCACGACCCGGCCCGCACCAATGCCTGGATGAAGAAAGTGTCCATGCGAGCAGACGGCCTATCGGGCAACGGAGCATTGTCTACCGCCTTCTTGCTGAACCTCCTCTTTGATGTATTCTTCTCGGAATTCGGGTACAGGAAGGTGAGGAAGGGGCGAGCATGGGCGGTATTGGAGACTGCAGAGGTCCGGTCGAGGGTGCGGAAGAGGGACATGAGAGGTCGAGCATTGTGTCAGAGGGAGCCAGTTCAGACGGTGTCCATTTGGGGGATTCTGGGTGCAATTGATTACGGGGAGCTCAGCGAAGAGCTGCCTGGGTGGGAGAATATTGTGGCGGGTGCCGAGTGTCGCGGTCATACTCTCCAAAGATTTCGGCGTCGCGAAGTCTTGGCGGAGTTGCGGACTTTGCGGGCAAGAACCCCAATATCCACGACACCACGACACGACCAATTGCGCCGCCCGACCTGCTGCTACACCCTCGCTCTCCCCCCGGAACCCCCGCCGATGCGATAACACATCTGAATATACAAAACAATACACCGCCCGCCATGGGCCGCTACGACTTCCGCCCGATGCGGGTGCGCCAGACCGCGAAAGCCCTCTTCGACTCGAAACGAGAACCCAACCTACCGCAATGGTACGACGTCGTCGGAAACATACCGCCCGGCGAGACGCTCGCCCGCCCAGTCCTGCGCATACCCAAGATGCGGAAGGCGCGGAAAGCCAGCAAACTATTCCAACCCCTACCCATCGCATACCCAGAAGACAAGCTGCGTTCAGAATTCTTCGGCGACCACCCATGGGAACTGGCGCGGCCGAGGCTAGTCGTAGAAGACAGCGGCAACGACTCCAAGAAATACGACTGGAGTAAGATTGTCCAGCCAGGGAAGCAATTAGACGGTGAAAGGTACCCAACCCGCCTCAACTACACCACACCACACCACACCCATACTAACACCCACGCCCAGCGTCGTCCAACGCCAAATGTGGCTAATGAAGCACGCCTCCCTCTCCAAAGCCTCCGCCTACGACCTCGCCCGCCGAGAATTCTACCAACACCGCCACCTCTCCGAAATCCGGTCCCGCATCGCCAAAGAAGAAGCCCTGCACGTCGGCGCCTACTTCGGCAAAGGGCCCCTTGAAATCGGAATGGAGCTCGAAGACCGCACGTGGGAGAACTGGAAGGCGTGGGCTGCCCAGCAGATTGAGGACGAGCAGAGTATGCGCGCGCAGATGTTTAGTGGGCAGCAGGATGAGGGGTTGGGGGATGCGGCCGAGATGAGTACCGCGGAGTACGATGAGGCGGTGCAGGAGATTCAGCCGTCTGCGCCGAATAATCCGCAGGGGATGAGGCCGATGGGGGGTGTGGCTGCGCATGCTTAGGGGTGGGGATGGAAGGGTACTGGGGGGTGTGCTGATGTTGTATATTTTGTGTAGATTACGATTACGATCGCTTCAATTCAATGGATATGAGACAAGTCCTGTCTGGATAATGGGAATATGTGGGTGTGAGGAAGGCATGGACGGCATCGCGATGATGCTGATCATCATCAGGGTATTGATGAACGCAGTAGCATGCAGGCTTTCAGGGTCAAAAATCTCGATTATTCCAATGCATGTTCAGGAGGTAAATGCTTCTCATCTCATCTCTTCTTTCCATAGTGTATTTTGGCGAATCCCAGGCGGAGGAGTCATGCATTCTTGCCTATCTTTTTTTTTGGACGAACACCAGAAAACAGCATGAGCTGTTGGACGAAAGATTTTAAACATACGGTGCTAATCTCCAGATTTGAAGTACAAAGGAGCTACGTAAAGATGAGGTTTTATATCTCAACAGCGAAAGCGAGCCACCAGACATGTCTCTGAGCACTCATGGTTTCCAGCTGCCAGCCCGAATCTCATATCACGGAATATCTTTGAATTTTGGAGGGTCGCGACCGCCATAAAGGGTGTCGAGTTGAATTTTGGTCACTCCGAAGAGACGGACATGTTCGGACAGGATGGTCTTTTTGGAAATGTACTTTGTCGATTGGGATGTAGGAAGGAAAGACTCCGAAGGGCGAGAAGATTGTTTTATACTCCAAAACTCTGGGCGGGGACAGACATCGAACACTGCCAGTCCGTGTTTGATATCATACACCAGATTGGGTGTCTTTCGCACAGCCATTGTCTCTATGTCATGCCTTTTTGGAACGGTCGTTCAAACAGTCTACATTGAAGGCGAGACCGGAACGAGACATCCAGTTGTCTGACGGTATTTTCGAAATGGTTTTGCCCGACGGAGTGGCTTTTGGTACGGTAGAGTTGTTTGGTCTGACGCAAACATACATCGATATTGTATCCCTTTTGGAGGAAGAGGCGAGCAACACCATGATCATGAAAAAAGTAGTTTTTTGGTGTTTTGAAATGGAGAGTGTAATGAAGGAGTAAGAGTTGGTATGTCGTCGTATTTATACCCATTGTTACCAGGCGCGACGGAGCGGAACATGCACACTTCGCACGCTGACTTTCAATGACATGAATAGATTCCTTGATCATTTCGAGTCCCCGGTGCTCCACAGCGACACATAGACCATCATACTCGAGGGTTTGATACGTCCTGGAACTACACTGTCCGAACATGAGTAACCTCTCTGTGTCTTTTTCGACATCAGATCTTCTTTAGTAGGAATCTTCGCGGTCGTCCTTTTTATATATAAGTCTTGACTGAGTATTTTTTAGAAGCTCGCAGCCATTACTAATATCGGTCTATACTTTTAGAAAGCCCGGCGAAGAAGGACATGACGAAGCCTTGTACTGCGTTTGGAAAATCTCGCCTAGGAGAGGGGATTTGTGGAGGAGAGAAGTAATGCAGCGCTCCTGTTATTTATATGCCAGCAAACCTAGTATGCGACACTCGTTGTTAATTTTTGGACCCTATGTAGCGAGGCACTTAGTGTTTTGACACGAAAGACTGAAGTTAGGACGCTTATATGCATCTTGTTATTTGATTTTGTTTCGAAGAAGCCGGCAACTCTATGATAGATGAGGATTTGGGATTTTGGGTCAAACATCGGGTAGAAGTTGCAGGAGTTGTTCGCCCGTACAGGCAAACATGTTGGATTGGGTTGCTGTATTTGAAGTCGACGCTAGGCAGCACATCGAAAGCTCCGTAACTTATTTTGAGAAAGTAGAATTTTGGAAGGTGGTAGATAGGAGACAAGAAGCAGAGCCGCAAGAAAGGCCTCTTATACCTCGCAGGTGAAGTTGTGGATTGCGCTGATACGAAAGCTGCCTTTGTTATTTCTAGCGAACTTCCTTTTTTCGGAAGCATCGGTTGCGATCGCGTTGGCTTTTGGAGATTGACGGCGACTTTATTTCAGCTAGACTCCTATTATCCTGACTTTTGAAGTTTTTCGAAATTCAAATTTTGTTGATATCTGCGAAGGGCAGCTTCTATGTTACCTTGACCTGAGCTTTTGAAAAAGAGGACAAGACTCCGACATACCTTGAGAGCGTATGCTTTTTGGAATCAGTTACGACAGGATAAGTGGTAAGGAGAGAGCAGAGCAATCTTGAGCGATGTATTTATATAGGCTAGGAAGGATGCATGGTATTCTCTCGCATGAATTTGAAAAGTTGAAATGAATGGAGTCGCCACTGGAGCACCGATATGGTTCGGATCTCTTAGCGTTTATGATCACAGAATGGCTAGGTGGGGCTCACGTATTGTTGGGAATGTCTTTTAGGACAGCAACTCTTTGCGGACACATAAGTCTGCCCTTGCAAGGTTTTTTGAAGGCATGCAGTGTGAAAAATGGTGTTTTTGAGACCGTTCAAACCAGAAAGACATGAGTTGAACCTGCTCGTGTTTTGGCTTATAAGATTGGAAGGTGAAGATATAAGAAGAGAGGGTGGTGGTGAGGGAGGTCTTTATATGCGACAAGATCTTTGTAGGAAATAGCTGAAGATCGTAAGGCGGAGATTACATGTCATCATTGTGGTTATCTTTGTAGTTGCGTTCCCACGAACACATCGAAGTATAGTGTTGAAGTTTTGGAAGCTGTGACACATGCAAAGTATCCTTATTGTTTTAGAAGTCTCCAGACCAGAAGATCATTAGACGAGTCGTCGGTATTTTTGGAATAAAGTACGGTAAGATGAAGATAAGAGGAAGAAGACCGCTGAGGAAACATAGGCCTTTATATGCGTGCCCAGACGCTAGCACCACATTCCCGGATGCGGGCTGCATCGAAGCGCATCAACGCTCCGTTGGCTCCCAAGGTTGACATCACTGACTTCCACGCCTTTTTGAGCGAGCGGTCGCGGTTCCACTGTTTGCGATAAGGCTCTTCGGCCGCTTCATTGTTTCCATTCTCTGATCGATGGAACATGGTGTCTCGGTTTTGTGCTCATGCGTCGGCGCTGACAACGCCATAGTGCGTCGTAGCTAAGCTTGCGACGAGTGTTGGATCAAATCTGATGTTTCAACCAATGGCATACTGATGGTGATTAGCGTAGGATGTACGCCGGTCCCGCGGTTGGCCTGAAAGAGCGCCTGACGTCAGATCGAAACCAGACAGCCTCACACTCAAAAGACGTACTTACCGTCCTTCTGATCCAACACCACCGCATTTCTTTCCAGCAATAAGCCACTATAACACCGCTCCCACTTCACACGAAAGATGCCACACACCCCCACCCCTCCAATCCCCAACCCCCCACCAACGTTCCTCAACCTCCCCCGCGAACTCCGCGACAAAATCTTCACCTACGCCCTCTCCATTCCCACCCCCATCGACATCGGTTCCATCCTCCCCTCTCCAGGCTACTGGCACGACCCCGTCTCCCACCCCCCAAAACCACCAACCCCCTCCCTCCTCCTCGCAAACCGACAAATACACGCCGAAGCCGCCTCCATCCTCTACGGCTCCAACACCTTCAACTTCCCACATCCAGGCCAGCTCCCTGCGTTCGAACGGCAAATCGGGGCGGAGAACTGTAAGCGGGTGAAGAGTGTGGAGCTGTGGGTTAGATATCCGGGTCCGGATGAAGTGGTGTTTGATGCGGGGGAATTGGGGCTGGGGGAATATGATAGTGTGCCTGAGCATTGGATTGCTGTGCTGGGGGAAAGTGGGATGACGGGGGTAAGAAGGTTAGCTGTTGAGGCGGTGATGATTGGGTGTGAGCCTGATAGGGTGCTTTCTGTGCTGCCTATGCCGGATGATCTGAGGGATTGCTTAGTTGAGTTCCTGGGGAGAGGGGGTGATGAGGGAGGAGGTGGGGCACCGCGGCTGAGGCTGAAGGGAATAAGCGAGGAGGAGAGGGGGAAGTTTCCGGGGGAGTGGGATGTTGTTATGAGTCAGTGAGATGAGGATAGGGAAGGAGAAGAGGAAGAAGCGGGGAATGGGGACTAAACAATAACATTACTATTAGCACGACTACTTCATAAATATCTCTGGCTGTCGTGGCATCGCTCAGATCTTGCCAAGACCAGCGCCCTTCTTCACGATCTTCTCGACTTCCTTGAGCTTAGTAAGCTTGTACTTGTAAGGAGCCTTGGTGAAGTTGCCAAGTTGAGTGATATTGACAGTCGCCTTTCCAAAGTCGTTCTTTGCACCAAGGTTCGCGAAACCGTCGATTTCAAAGTCGCCATCGGGGCTGGTGTTGGGACTGTCCTCCGGGATGACCAATCCGTATGTGCTGAGAGCCTCGCGTGTCTTGCCCTTAAAGACGTTGCCTTCAACAAGAACCTGGTTGTCGCTGCGTGAGTGAATGGCTTGGTACAGGAAGTCGACGTAGAGATTGTTGTAGATGTGCTGGTGGCCGAAACGACCGGCAGGGCCACGGGTGCCCTCATTACGCCAGTAGTTATGGTGGTAGGTGACGTGGAGGTGGCCTTGGTCGACATCCCTGAGCGCATCGCTGTTGCCAACGAGAGAGCTCTTCCAGTGGTCGTGGAAGTAGTTCCATGAGACTGTGATCCAATCCGCGGCGCGGATGATGTCTACTTGGCCGTCGTACGCATCAGGGCCCAGAGCAGGGAAGTTGCCAGTGGTGAACTCATTGTGATCGATCCATACACGGGTGCTGTTACGAATTGTCATGCAGTCGTCGTCAATTGCTGTGAATCCGATGTTGCGAATGATGACATTGGTCTTGTTGAAGATGTTAAGACCCGAGCCAGTGATTTGAGCTCCCTTGCCCATTCCGATGAGAGACTTGTTCGACCCTACTTGAACTCTTGATGTGAGGTTGAAGTTGCCCTTGGCATAGATGACTGTTGGCTCGCTTCCGTTCACAGCTTTGATGAACTCGGCGACCGTCCGAACAGTGACGCTCTTGCCATGTTTGCCAGCACCACCAGTGGTTGGTCCAATTGGGTTGTCCTTGGCGAAACCGACGAGGCTAAAGTCAGCCCCTGCAGGAGCTGCAGTCGCACATAGCGTGAGGGAAAGGAGTGATAGGATTGAGAGCTTCATCTTGAGGTAGAAGATGCAGATGGGTTTGCGTGATCTGATGCCGATCAACCAGCGATATTACTTACATCTTATATCCTGCCCTTTCGAGCGTCGGCAATCAAAGAGCCAGTAGATGGCCATGTAGTCGGCATCCAGGCTTCGAGGCGTTCATCATTGCAATTCTTCCGGCAAAATGGCTGATGGCGCATCGTCGTACAGGCTCGAAAAACTCCCACTCGCGCAAGTGCATGCTGCGTCCATCACCGTGATGCTGTACTTCGTCTTGGCCTATCTTGGCGGACGTGCATTCCGCCCCAGGAACGGCAGCAGGTATTGCGCAACGTTAGACTGGTGGCTGCAGGTTGTGGTGTTGAGTGGTGGAAAGAGGCATCCCCAGATTTTCCCGTGGCTGGAAGGCTCGATCGCCTCTTCGGACGGCGGGGAAAATACGGGGGAATCGGCTTGGCGCGCAATTCCACCAGTACGGACCGCGGTTCCCTGCTTGCTTATTTCGTTGCATCTTAACGTTCTGTCGCCGAAGCGTATTTCGAAACTGGTTTCTAGAAGCGAGATGAGCCATCGAAGCTGTCAAAACTCTCTCAGCATTGCAATGTCTGCGTGCGCTTGACTCGCTTGTTGCAGCCACCAAGATTGTTGCCTTGCCGCCCAGGCAAACATCGCATGTGAATCGGCGAAGACAACATACGGGCAAGTCAAATTGGCTGTTTCGCCATTCGATAGAAAGAGATCATCTGTCGAATGAGCGGTGCATTTCAACCGCCTTGGCTTTCTTATCGTGTACTAACGCTGTGGCAAGACCGAGGTTCTTCCAGGGGTCTCGAACAACGACTGTGCGACACCGCTGTTTTGCGATGCCACAGGCTGCGACCTTATAGGAAGTGAAGCTGGCGAGGTAATCGTCCGTCCTTTTTACGCGAAGTCTACACTGTCAGCACTTTGACAGCCTGGGATCCGGTACTTTCCTCCATCATGGTGCGACGATGCTTGTCGAAATTTGGTGCTTGACATACAAGCGATAATGCGACAAAGCAGATTGTCGCGTTGACGGATGGAATACAAGATTCTTTGTTGAAAGGGTTTCCATTCAAGCACAAAGGCCAAGCATTGAGACCACCCTGCACAATATGAGGACCAGGAAGGCCTCCGCAATGTCTCGGTACGGCTTCCGCATTCTGAGCGCAGTCCGATCTTCTCTTTAGGACGGCCAAGTGACGTATTTGTGGTAGAAGACGAGATATACCCTTCTAACTTTCACTCGAGACATGACCGACCAACAGCGCATGGAAGAGATCAATCGCGCATACGAGATATTGGTCAACCCAAACTTGCGGACGCAGTATGATGATCGTTATCAATCCCTACTAACGCAGGATGCTCGGCGTTTCAACCCAAGTAGACAAAGGTGGAGGCGGACGAAGAAGACTCCATGGACGGGATGGCCTGAAGGTCTCCTCTTTCCGCGATGGAGGCCTTCGCCGCCGGGAGCTTGGCCTTTGGATTGCGCAACGAAGCAAAGAAAGAAACCGGAGTTGCATCATTCTCATGAAGATCTGTCACCGCCGTCGATTATGAAGTCACAGTGTGGTGTGCCGAACGAGGAACGATCGTCTCAAGATGTTCCACGGGATCGCGAGCCAGGAGGAAGTACTGCTCACGGCCTGCCTCAATCAGGGAAGGAGCGTCCAGGAGGGGATGACGACGCTTCCAAGCCTAGAAAAACGCACTGTATGATGCGCGGCTTGCGCTACCCGGTGCCCCACCCGAGGAGGAAGAAAGCGGAGAAAGATAACCCGAGGCAACCACGACAACGCAACCAAGCGACTAGAACCACACACACGTTCAAGCGACCGTGGCCTTGGGTGAGACAGCCAGCACCGAAACGAAGGTTGTTGAGGGAAGTGTTGGAAGACGAGTATGGACGCACGATAGAACGGTTCCGAGACGACTTCTTCCGCTGTGAAAATCTCAGTATCTGACGGAGTAGATCGTCAAGCGACAACAGATGGCGTCTCCACCCAAAGAGCAGGCAGCCCCAATGACTGTAGGAAACGAGCGGGAGGAAAGAAGAGAAGATCGTGATGAGAGCATCAAGCGCCGATTGAAGGAATACCAACGGAAGAGAATAGACCATACAACCAGTTGGAATGAGAATATAGATGACCAATTGATGATGATCGCGTTTGAGTTCATTCGTGCAATGGCGAACGACCCTCTCCTGATATGGTATATCCGCGGAAAGATCGTCGTCCAGAATGGCGATGACTGGTTCTCAAAACCAGTGCTCTACGTCGAATTGGATCTACTTGCCGCGTGTCTGGCCTGGTTGATGGCACGTGGGGCCAGATCATGTGAATCTAACATGTAGTGGTCGAGGCGCCGAATGGTGCAACTTGTGGAAAGCCGATCGTGCGAGATCCGCGGACTATATGCTGGTAGATGAAGCGACCGGTAGGAATCAAACTTCGCATCAAGATGTTGTGAGAGGCGAGGTATTCGGTAGGAAGCAAAGCCTCTCGATCTCGGCGAGGCCGCGACGCATTGTCATCAGAGACGAGGGTGCCCAGTAGAGGATTCTAATTCTGCATTGCGGGATTGAACAACCTGGCCGCAGCACCCAACTGCATCTCCCCTGCATGTCTTGCAGTGACCCACTCCTGGAACCGCTGTCTTGGGTAAGTCCGAATTGAACACGGCCGATGGTGTGGATAAAATCGCATGTGAGAACGCGACGAAAGGCCATACATCTTGTAAAAGGCTCAACGTTTGGGACGCTGGAACAAGGCATCGCTTGCGATGTAGGCTTATCCATCTGTTGTTGGGTTGGTGGTACGATTGCCGCTCAGGTCCAGCGAACGAAACGCTCATAGCACCAATAAATTCGATCGCTGCAGTGCCATCCCACGTGCAACGATGGGATTGGGTAAGAATCATGCGGCAGTCGAACATCAATGTCAGTGGGGGTTCCAATGAAACCACGGGTCGGTCATTGCAGCAACCCTAGACGGGGTTGCCTCCGATGACCTGCACCTCAAAGTGTCAGAATTTTGCTCCCTGATAACCAGTTGGGTGTTAGTGAGCAAGCTAATTCGCCAGTGTGCTGGTAAGTAGTTTGGTATCGGGACCAACCGACAGTCCAGAAGACGGGTCTCGCATTACAGGCTAGCGGAGACAGTTGCTTGATGCATGCAACCCCATCTGACGGGCCCGGTACTAGTCGGTCGAGGCATGGGGTACGGGACCAGGTTCAGTTCGAGCCATTCCTCGGAGAAGACGAGACAAGACTGATCAGGTAGGTCGGCGGCATACGCGTTGGATGTCATCGTGAGTGTTGACCAAGCGTCTAAAGGCAAGCCACAAGATCATAAGGATGCACCCAAGCTTTCCAAGAGAGTCTTGAGTGCGAAGAAGCTCCAATCCTTCAAAGGTCAATCGGGGCGATGCTGGGAGAAGGCGTTCTGGCCGTGCCCCTTTTAGCGTCTTGGCGCAGCACGTGGGGTACATGATTGGACCGAACGTCCTCTCCTCGCGTTCCCTTCACCACACCAGATGCGCGGCAAGGATAACCCTCAAGACGCGTCAAGCCTTGTGGCGGCCTGGGCTCGCAAAGGCGCATTTTCACGAGTGAGTCTGCTGCTTACAGCGGAAAGGCCGAAGGAAAGATTGCAAATCTGCGGGCGTGCCAGAACGGAATGATCTTACTGGTCCGTGGGTACCGTAGGTTTGGCATACAAGCATGATGCTCAGCGCTCGGCGTAAGCTTGAGTGCAGATATATAGCTTGGCCCTGCACCCTCTACCACTGATCTCCAGCTCCCACAGCCGTCTTTTCCGGACTCAAGCCTCGTCTAATCTCTTGACAAGTCTCGGCAAAGCTTCACAATGGCTCACAAGACAGCTGGCGGCAACGCCGCGTTCCACAACTTCAACAATGACTTCGCGGTATGGTAACACGGTCGACGTCTTGAGTAGCAGCCTTGCTGACTGTTCTTAGCATATTGAAGACCCCAATGAGCGACGCCGGCTTGCGCTCGCTGAGATCGACAAAGCGCCCTTTGGCTGGTACCATGTGCGCGCCATCTTGGTCGCAGGTACCGGTTTCTTCACGGATTCGTACGACATCTTCTGCGTGTCTCTCTTGACGATCATGTTGGGTATCGTTTACAAGCACGACAATAAGGGTGTTCTTCTCACTCAACAAGACACAGCCATCAAGCTTGCAACATCAGCTGGTACTGTTCTTGGGCAAGTCGGATTCGGTACACTGGCCGATATTGTTGGACGAAAGAAGATGTATGGTCTTGAGTTGATCCTCATCATCGTCGCCACACTCGCTCAGTCTCTCACTGGCCCCGGTCCCGGCACTTCGGTTGTCGGGTTGATCATCTTCTGGCGTGTATTGATGGGAATTGGTGAGTTTATTGTCGATTTATAAATTGTCGCCTTGCTAATAGCTATCAGGTATCGGTGGTGACTACCCACTGTCGTCCATCATCACTTCTGAGTTTGCCACGACCAAATGGCGTGGTGCTATGATGGGTGCCGTCTTCGCCATGCAAGGTTTTGGTCAGCTCGGTGGTGCTCTGGTCATGCTTTGCCTCGTTGCCGGTTTCAAGGACACGCTCTCAGGCGCTAAGGGCTACGCAGACTGTGATGGTCAGTGCTCTATCGCGGTTGACAAGATGTGGCGTGCCCTTATCGGAATTGGCATCGTCCCAGCCTGCATCGCGCTCTACTACCGTCTTACCATTCCCGAGACTCCTCGCTACACGTTCGATGTCGCCCGTGACGTCGAGAAGGCAAACGCAGACACCAACCAGTACCTCTCTGGTAAGCATGGCAACGGCGACCCTGATGCAATCGCCCAAGTTGCCCAGACCCAGGCCACTGCTCAACTTGAAGTTCCCAAGGCTTCTTTTGGCGACTTCTTTAGGTTCTACGGCAAGCTCCGCAACGGCAAGATTCTTTTCGGTACCGCAATGTCATGGCTCCTTCTCGATGTCGCATTCTACGGACTCGGCCTGAATTCCTCGACTGTTCTCCAAGCTATCGGCTACGCCAACGGTGACAATCTATATCTTAATCTACACAACCTTGCTGCCGGTAACGCTATCTTGGTGTGCGCTGGAGCTATCCCCGGATACTGGCTTGCGGTAGCGACTATCGATACTGTTGGACGCAAAACACTCCAGCTCGCTGGTTTTACCATTCTCACCATCCTCTTCATTGTCTGGGTATGTATATGTTCCAATTTTATGCATCAAAGACACACACTGACTTTCAATTAGGGATTCGCCTACAGTCACCTCAGCCACCACGCCATGTTGGCCATCTACGTCCTCATCCAGCTCTTCTTCAACTGGGGTCCCAACACGACCACCTTCATCGTGCCTGGAGAGTGCTTCCCAACTCGCTACCGTTCCACATCCCACGGAATCTCTGCTGGCTCAGGAAAGATCGGCTCCATCATCGCTCAGGGAGCTATCTCTCCTCTTCGAACTCGGGGCGCTACAGCGACGAACAAGAACCCATGGTTGAACCACGTCATGCAAATCTTCTCGGCTTTCATGTTCTGTGGTATCTTCACTACCCTGTTAATCCCGGAGACCAAGCGCAGGACGCTCGAGGACCTTGCGCAAGACTGGGATATGGGTGATGAGTCCATTACTGGTACGGAGTACGCGCGCAAGGCGGAGAACCGCAGCAGCGACGAGGCTGGTACCACTGAGCTCAAGGCTTAGTTTGCGCTATTGTTTCGCGCGTCAGTCTTTTTTCTATCTCTAGGCTCACGCCTTCATACCCGTATTCATGTAGCATCGATACCTAGACTGTAATGCATTCACTCACATTTCATCAATCTATTTGTGGAAAGAACTATCTTACACTTAACCTTTGAGAACGTTACAGTAATGCTGACATATTGGCCACTAGCATAGAGCTACAGAGTTCCACGCATCTCATCCGAGCGACATTCAGATGGTTCAGCGAGAGCGATAAGAAGTGTTCTGACGTTGAGAATTGCTTGGGCTGAGCTATTTGCGGTTTAGCCTAGGCCAGTTGCAGCATACCCCGGCTTGGTGCCATGTAAACGCAGGAACAAAAAGAGATCTCCGCTGGTACAACACGTCGTACTGACTGTACTGGCCTGACGTCTGTATGACCTCTACAGCACTGTGCATGACGTTTATGGAGGATCCTGCGACGCCACGATCGTAGTGATAGCTGAAGATGTTGCTCGGGTAGCACACGCCGGACTAGCTGAACATCACCGTTGCCGGACGTCCGAGACGTCTAGAGTAAGTGACCAAATCTACTTACGAGCATAAGTCAGCTGAGAGTATGTCTGATATAAAGTCGGGTCGTCTGCTCTTCTATGGCTATGGAACTGCAAGCTCAGAACATCGAGCAATCATCAACAGCAGAAAACCGGTCACCAAATCCTCATTCGTCTCATCTCTCATTCCACGCCTCAGCTTTCTCACCACCAATACATACACAATTTAGACACGTCATGTCTCACTTCCCGGCCGCCAAAGCAGCTCTGCTCTTTGCTCTCATCAGCGTGACCACCGCGAGTTTGACCGGAGTGATACTGAATCCACTCATCAGCGGGACAGAAGGAGCGTTAAAGTGGCAGCCGGTCCTTGACTGGGACAAGGACGTATGCTATCAGACTTCGGCCATCGACTCCAACGGCAACACCAATCCAGGCCTGGGTCCAAAATATTCCGTGAGCGAGTGTCGCGATTCGTCGCACCAATGGAACTGCAACACTTACGCACGTGAGCGATGCAACCACGGATGGTGCGTCTACATGTACGCCTATCACAGCGAGATGGACAGGGCGGTAGCCGACACTACTGGGGATCGGCACGATTGGGAGCATGCCATGGTCTGGACGCGTGGCGGGGCTGCATGGTCCGTTATGTGGTCTGCTCACGGTAATTGTACGATAAAAATGCATCCCCATTCGTCTATGACTAGGAATAACTTCTCGATCTAGATGACGACGCCGACCCACGGGATGTTCGCTGGGAGGGTTACCACCCAAAATTGGTCGCGCATCGTGGCGGGGCGAACATGGCGTCACTACGTCTCGCGAAGGCGGCGGATGACGACATCGAGAATGACTTAGAGATATGGCAGGCATGCCATCTTCAACAGATCGGCGTCATGGACAACGGTCTCGCTCAAAAACTCTTGAACACGAACTGGGGAAATGCCCACATGGACCTGCCTGATAGCCGCTTCCAGGAACAATTGGAAAAGTACATGCCAAAGCAGGCCAGACAGGACGGCTTTACTGCGCGCGACTAGTACACGCTGGAAGAAGTTCAGTCAAAAGCAGTCGGGGTGTGATGGTTCGCGATACTTGTGAGCCTGAGCATCACATCATGGTTAACAGAACGAATGACAAAAATCTCCTCCGGACTCACCATCACCACGAAGCCTTCACGATGAAAATGTCTTACCGGCCAACAGTACCCCCATTCTTTTACAACACTGTCCTTCCGACGCACACCTTTACAGTCTCGCCACTCACCGTCTTTACCAAGTCCCCCATGGCGTAGCAGACTTGTACATGCTAGTCAGAATTTCAGACCTTACATTATGCATTATTCTGTTTCATTTCTCCACATGAACAACATCTCGCTAATGCGATACATTAGGTAGCTCGTGCTGGTTCACTACCCTCACCGAATTTGCTTGCATCTCCGTCCTCGCATGATCCGCCGGCATCTCCTGATATCCCAAATGTCCGTGGTCGCTTTCTCCATACTGTTGAGCATCTTGGCCTGGCATGGAGCTTTCCTTAGTGGCTGGCGTGTGCCCATAACACCGTCGCCTTCTCTTCCCAAGAAGAAAACCAATCGCTAGTAGTATGAGCACAGCCGCTGTTATGCCAATTCCCAATCCGGCCTTCGCACCCGTGGACAGGCCGCCAGACGATGAGGACAGGGTCTCGGTAGGCGAGCTGTCATCTGTAGCAGATGTGTTTGGTGGGTTCTGCGTTGGCCCAGTGATTGTTTGGCTCGATGTTGTGAGAGAAGCGTGCGCAAGTACCGCCGAGTCTGTTGATTGCCACATGATAGGCACACCGTCACCAAACACCCACCAATCGGAGGCTTGTGTACTTATGCTCAAATTGCTCGAGCTAAATGGACCATCGTAGATGCGCACTGTGAGAACTTGGTTTGCTGTTACTATGGATGAGCATTGGTGGCCATCTAGAAACAACGAGTATCCACTAAGAGGAAGTCAGCGCTGAAAAGTTTGTAGTTTGATGACGCCAACGATGAGTACTTACAGAGGACAGCATAAAGCCGCTGTAGTGGCAGACCCGAGGAAATATGCCGATGGTGTTGGGTGTATGGGAATGGCGCTCGTGAATGTAGTCGCAGCAGTCCAACCGGCAGGGCATATCGCCGGGCTATCTACGCAGCATTAGTCGGTATATCCGATTCGGTTACGACTCGCGCACAGTAATATGCATCCCATCCAGAAGATGGTGCTGGTGCTTCAGATGGATTGGACGCTCTAGGATAACACTCCTGGTCAAAGTCGAGTCTGTAGTGTCCAACGAATAAAGCACCGGTGGCGGACGTAATAGTTTCAGTACATGAGGGTGGAGGCGTGAAAACGGTAGTAATTGAACCGCGATTAAATTCTTTAATAACGTTCTGGTCGGTTATAAACGTTGCTGTTGGTGTTGCAGTCATGGTTGTGTTTTGTACAGAAAGTACTGGAAGCCTCGAAGTAGACTGAACAGGCTCATAAGCGGCAGACATTAATGCGAAACCAAGCTATTTACATGGCTACACAGCTATCAGTTCATTAGGGGCGAAAGCGATCTTAGACCAATCGTAAGCGGAAGAAGGACGCCGAAGCGTCGGTGGCTTGAATAGTACTACGCCCCGCATGCGAGGATGTGTTGTGGCGCTTCCACTCATCTCCAGAGAACCTCCTCTCCTCAAGGTGCAACTTCTGTACTTGATCCTATCCCGTTGATGCCTTAGCGGTTTTATGATAATGTCACCGAATTATTGGTTTGTTCCTTCTGCTAATCTGATATCGCGTTCCACGATCAAAGTCGCACCACCCAGTGGCGTGTATCTGCAGTCATCATCGAAGGCCTGAAACGCCACCATCTGTATTATGTGCCTACACAGCCAGCCCCGCACAGCCTTACACGACAACACATGCATAATTACCTAAACCGCCCCAATCAGCTATATGTTTTCTTGTCGCGACTGGATCGTAGGCTCAACGATGCCTTTGACTAGACCTTGTCTAGTGCAACTACAACAAGAAGAGCTGTGCTAGGGGCGTAGAGACCAGAAAGGGTCCACGGTAAAGAATTCAGCTATGTATCACCACTATCAAGCTACTGAGCGCGTGTTCATGCGTAGAAACGTCCCCTAATAGGCTTTTTAACGCCATCCAATGCCGTACCAAAACTTAGATGATCCACTGGCCGGCGTGATTCCGGACCATTTCGCCGGTCTTCCTGAGCATCATACCAATCTTGAGGCATCTTCACCACGCCCCACGAAAGAAGACTCCTGGAAACGGCTAGCAAATTACTGTGTCCTTCTTCTTCGGCCATAGACACTCGCTCATAGCCTTCTCCTTTCCCATTGGTTAGATCAGTAAGCGGGGCTTTGGCTAACGGCGATACATGGCAAGCAGCCGCTATGGCCCGCGAGTCTGATCCAATGGGTGGCATGTGCCCGGGCAGTCGCAGTAAGCCCAGAAGCCAGGGGATCTGGATGGCGGCGGTGGCCATGGCCAGTAGTCCGGCCAAGTATGTTGGAGATAGACTCCAAGAGACATAGAAGTCGTCTGGTAGAGATTGGTAGTCTTTCCAGCTGTCCCAACCGTTGGTCGTATCGGCTAATGTGTAGTATCAGTGTCTGCGTGTTGCATATATTCGTTGCGTCTTTGTCTTGGTACATACTATCGGTGTAAAGAGCTACAGATGAGCTTTCTGAAAGGAGAAAGTGCAGAATTGCACTGAGGATGATGAGGAGGATGCTGTATTTATACGGGAGCTGGAGTCTATAGGTACCAACCTGTTGACCTCTTTTTGAAGCGTTCGTTAGCATGCTATTCTTCATGTTCTTCGTCAATGTAGATGGCATTGCATCCCCATGAGTGTGTCAGGAAAGACCGGGAAAATACCTGGGCTGAGAGACCCGAAGAGGTCGGAATGACGTGGAGAACAGAGCCCATTCCTGGCTGAGTTGCAGGCGAGTCAATATGGCGTTGTACGCGAAGTACCAGACTGAGAGCAAGAGCTGTGGAATGTTGGCTAGAAGCACTGTCGTGATGAAGGGAACGGAGGAATTGGGTGGTCGGATCGTAGGATTAGTGGTAGTATAGTCCCTACAGTACGGATCAGATAATGCGCGTAATGGCTCGGAGTGGGAACTCACGTCGAGTTATTCTTCCTTATCGTCAACATTTGACATTCTTTGATCAGAACTCCAGCTGCAGCCACGATGAAGGCAATGAAAAAGGCGTATGTACATGCCCATGTTCTTCGTGAAATGGAGGATGCCCGTCTTAGATACGTATACCGCCACAGTATCGAGCCACCATCACTAGCCCCGTGCGTCGACTGCCCCACCAGCATGTCCAGTCTGCCAGCGGTAAATGGGTCCGGATTCGAGATGAACGAAGACAATGCGTCTCCAGGCGTGACCAGGGGCTCCTGAAAACCTAGAACCAAGACAGTTATCACGCAGATGACCACTTTGACCAAACAAGCTAGTGTAACGGCCAAGAGAAGAGGGTTCGATATGCCCACTTCACAGGCTGAACCGGATTTTGACTGCAGTATGGCACTGTTGAAGAGAAGATGCAGAGGCAGCGACGTGATCAATAAGGCGAACCACGCCACCCTTTTGAAAGGAGATAAACGCATTGCGTTCCGCCATGATAGCACTCCGATGTCGACTGACCTTTCCCGCGCGTGCGACACATCCACTTCTGCACGAGTTGGCGAGCTGAGTACCTGCGAGAAGAAACTGGACGACGCCAGGACCGCACTCGATATACCGTTGACGAGTAGGTGGAGGATCGTGTTGATAACATCCGATGTCGAGTAACCCGATCTCGATACACTGCACTGCGATCTGTGGAACAGGAAGGTGTTGCGCACCACGGCCGCTCGGTTTGTCTCAGGCCCACCGTAATTCGGTTTGTTTATTCGTGAGAGGTCTGTTTTGAGCATCGAAGCCACGGTGAAGCCGCAAAGTAATAGCGTCAGAAGGGTCATCGCGCCGATGTTCAGGATGGCTAATCTCCTCCATCCGGTTAGCGTGGGGAGGAGCTTCGGGAAGCAACGGCTTAGCCTGCCCATGATTGTACAAACATTAATGGGAGTGCGAAAACCGGGAGGACGAAGATAGGAAGCTGGGGACTGTTAGATCGTTATGTTTGAAAGACCTAAATAGCCACTGCCTTAGCTCCGCCATCTTGTGAGATGGTGGAGGCTATGTAGAATAAGTGTGGGGGCCAAATCAACGCGCAAGGCTGAAACTGACGCGGGGCGACTGCCCATCATCTACAGATCGCCGTATCCTGAAAAGGCTCACCCACGATTATGGAGGGAGAGCCATCTAACGAGTGAAGTGGCTGTTCATTATCGTCGCGAGAACCAATTAATGATACCCGGCGTCAAGTCATTTCTAATACTTCGTGATTACGCGCTCTGTGTAGCTGCGCGTAGGGAAGTCCATCTTCTGCAAGGGACTTGGGGCGACCACAATGGCGGGTGTAGAAAGGTATCCTGTTGCCCACCTGCACCGATCGCAAAAAGAGTTCCGACATCCTCTTGCTTCCACGTTGACGCGGTGATGCCTAAGGGAGTCGCTATCGTTCTTACGACGAACACGGTGCGATACGCGCATGGAGATTGGCACTGTTCAAGAAGACTGGAGCGGTAGTCTGACGTACCTAGGTACTTGTGCGCGCGACGGCCGTGGTCGCGCAACGCCCTGCTGCTTGACCACACGCCGGAAGGGGGCATCAACAACAGTATTGGTGTGATGACACGAAATCCCCGTCCTTACAATCGCATCGGCCGGTAGCTCGGCGCGCCGAGCCCCACGATCATTTCACCCACCCAATCGCGAGCAGGCTGTCCTGCACCTCATACTTATCCATATGTATATATACCGTTGCTTGCAACACCAACTCGATGAAATTAAAATACGTCCTTACAATCGTTGGTGTGGTGCAAAGGTTCGGGTATTAAGATTCTCCACTCAGCCTCGCCTAGCGTATAGCCGTCCAATCATCATACAGAGAAC